TTGACCTCCCATATGACTTAGCAGTGGAAATGTTTTGTTTTGAGCTCAAATGGGGTGACATTTAAATTTTTCCTGAATGAGAACTGTCCTTAACCACTGTTTTTGAACACTGAGTAGCTTTGGGAGTTAACTTTTGCCACAGACTTGATAATGTTTCTTAATGAATTTGACTTAAAATTATAAAATAAAACACTGTACTGTAATAAAATCATTTCAACAAAAACTAATATTTAAATTATAAGAATGCCAGGCTGCTTTATACACATCTGTGATGTCAAAGATCAAAACAGAAAATGAGATCTCTATTTACACATAAATTTTTAGGGGACACATTTTCCTGCAGTTTCTTCACTGTTTTTTGGATCTTAATACAAGTGCAAAGAAAACATACGTGAATTTCCAAATCCATTTGACTGCAACTGAAGAGCTTCCTCATCTGTTGGAAATGAATAATCTGGAGCAAATGACATGCTCAAAGGCGAATACCAAGACAAGACAGACAGAAGCTTATAAAGGCCTCACAAGTGGTATTTGGCAGTACTTTGACCTGTGTAAAGACAAACTTGTGAAATCTCATTACAGATCAGCAGTAACAGATAAACATTTCTGATTTTCATATTAGGAAACGCTTAACTTTGAGCTTAAATTGACCAAAATGTTAATTCCTACCCCCCAAATTTTATTTTTTGTCCATTAGTAGATCCATATTAAAAAAAAAATATATATATATAGGGCAGCACCTGTGGCTCAAAGGAGTAGGGTGCTGGTCCCATATGCCAGAGGTGGCAGGTTCAAGCCCAGCCCTGGCCAAAAACTGCAAAAAAAAACAATGTTATATTTTGAGTTTTGGATTTTTTAAATGAAAATTTTGTGAAAATCATTTTCTCACACAAATGCCTAAATAATGTCCCTTGATTTTTGTCTTTTAGCTTGCAAAACCATAAATATTTACTATCTAGAATTCTACAGAAAATGTCCACCCACCCCTCTACTAGAGGAAACTTAAGGGTCCAGGTCTGTCCTGGTTGCCCTTTGATCTGCAGTGCCAAGTGCAGTGGCTCCTTTGGGTAAACAACCTGAAATGGAATCAAATTATCGATATTTCAGGTGTAACCTTACTTCTGCAAATGAAGGTGTTAGAATTGTGATTTCTTAAGTTGAAAAAAATAGGAAAAACATTGATGGAATTATTTCCTGAGTATAGGTGCAGTATAGTGAATTTTATTTTTATTTGTGTGTTTTATATTAATTTTTTACATGTCTTTGTTTTTCCACTAAGACCCTGTAGAAATTTAGGACTATATTCAAATCATCCAAGCCCAGCAGTTTTTATCGTTTCATGTTTCAAAAATTTTTAAAAAGCACTGAAAATTAACAGAAAACAGAAGACTAAATTTCACATTCTCACTAGACAATTTCCACTTGTTCTGACTTGTATGAGTTTTCTACAACATAATCACTCATATTTAAGGTATAGTATAAAAGCAAATGAGCAATTTGTCCATTTCATTGCCTTAGCCTATAGCGGATGAATCAAACTGCCTTTCTTCAAAATTACTGTTCATTTTCTTTGTGAAAGTGACTTGGTCAGTACTGTCCTTGGCAAGTAGGAATATAATCTTCCTTTTTGTTTACTGTCATACAAGGGGAAATTAACAGGTTTGATACACCTCTTTTGGCTTTTTCCTCCCCCAAACACAAAAACCTCTATCCAGTATCACACCAAGAAATTGGAGTTCCTTTAGCTTCAGATTGAGTATCACTTAGGAGGTTCCAGTTTGAAGACCCTGGAAGACTTACTATTTTACATCTTAGCCATATCATAGGTTTTGATGGGGACCCATTTGGCTCGTGGTGCCACATACTTTTGGTTGTTTTTTCTAAACAAGAATTAACATTGCTAATTGTTAGCTGGTTTCTTGTATCACTGCAAAGCCCATGTACAAGGTCTGACAAAGTCATGAACTTATCCTAGAAAAAGTGCTCTATAACCTCACTGCTGAATATCAGTATGGTCACCTTCAAAGTTCTCCCCTTGGGAAGCTGTGCACCAATCCCAGCACCTAATCCACCCTTCAAAGCACTTTTACTAGGATGAGGTTGCGAACTTAACTGTCAGACCCACTACGATAGATAGGTCTGATGCCCATTGTACTAAAGGAGTTCCCAAATTACTTTGAAGGGTGCACAGCTTCCCAAGGGGAGTGCTTCAGAGGTGACTGCAGCGATATTCAGCAATGCAGCACTTTTTCTAGGATGAATTTGCAAATTTAACTGCCAGACCTTGTATTTCAAAATAGCAAAAAATTGCTAGTTTATGATAATGGAATAACAGTTTTTTCATATGTCGTTTTCTTAAAGCATGAATCACATGATTGCTTGCCTAAGATTTTATAAACATGATTTATACCTTTGATTTCCCTAGTTAAGACAGTTCTTTGCCAAACAGATTCCACATTTCCAATAGCTGTCGAGTGATTACAGTGCTTGAGATTTAGTCTCCTTCTGTCTCGTTAGAGACGTTAACTACTACACTAAGTAATTACCTCATCTTCCCACCACCCTCCCCCCAAAACCTGTGTTGTGTCCATGTTGTAGATGTGAATTTTACCATCAGTAGCTCTGTTAGACAAGATCTTTGTATTAAAGATACGCATTTAATACATGATTTTGGCAGTTTATATTGTCAGTGCAAAGGCAGTTGCATGTAGATGGTTAATGAAGGTGACCAACCACTTTATCTGGACGTGAAGAAAGAATTCATGGATTCGCGCTTCCTCAAGTGCACTGTCATTACAGTCAGATGCAAATGTTCTTTATTTTTGAAATAACAGTCCTCCTCCACTAGGCAACAGCAAATAGCTGACTAAGGTATATGAAGCATTTGTACAATATTCTAAAATGAAAAATGTCTCAGACTTGATTCTTGTATGGTAAAATCTCTAAAAACAAGAAAAATCCAAATTATAAGTGCAGTGGACAATCAGAACACTTGAAATTCATGTTTCTTCAAGTTTGAATGAAGCTGTTAAATTTTTAAAAGTAAAAACGCTTAAAGGTACATTGAAGGTAAAGTTTATAGATATGTACAAAGTATAGGTCTATTTATTTGGTACTTTGTTCAATCAGATAAATTTATACTGCATATCAAATGAACCTACAGTCATCTCCAAAAACTACAACCCCTTACAATTAAAAGCAAAACTGAACAAAACAACCTTTAAAGGTTAGACACTGGATGAAAACAGAAAAGGGAACCATTTAAAACCATTTTTAAACATTTTCAAATCTGCTTCTAATCTGTATTGATTTATATATTTGAATAATGACATAAAAGACCTAAGGGGGGTGGATTAACAGTATTGTAGCAGAGTAAAGAATAAACATTCCATCTTTATTTTCTAGCTTTCAGTTTGACAAGGAATACTTAACAGAATCCTGTCCAGGAAAACAGCTATAGTAATGTGCTTTAAAAAAAAAATCTGGCTGCATATGATTCTTAATACATTGTGTGCTGCTGTTACTCTTAAGACTTTTAGCAATAAATGTAGGTTCCAGTCTGGAACTTCTGGTAATAAAAAAATGACCAAAAATTACTTTAAGTTAGAAGTAAAAATGTATCATCTGAGATTTCTTGAAATAGATTGTCAGCTCAAACTCTTTTAAAAAAAAATCTGAAAAAGACTGCCACCCTAGGTTCAAAGAATTGCACTTGAAATGAACCATAAAATGATGTGGCTGATGTTGGTTCATCCACAAGCACATTTAATATAAAACTCTTTACAGTCTTAGCAAGGATGAGTAATTGCAAGGATCTTTTTACTCCATTAACCTCTGGTCTTCTAGTTTGTTTTGTGTTGAATTTTTGTCTAACAAAGATTTTGAAAAAGGTACTCCCATTTTCTCTTTGATTAAATACCAATTACTTAGCTGTATAGTTTTAAAAGGTAATCTACTTGAAATCTTCAAAATCAGTACCAAAAAAGTATACAGCTAATTCTAATTGTTAACTTTTACAAAATGTATATTCCATTCAAATAAAAATAAATAAAAACTTTTTTTTTTTAAATAGTGCGTACAAGGCACAAGAGCTTCTTAGTTTAAATACTGAAGCTGAACATTTTGGCATCAACAGACACACCACTTCAGTTCACCTTAAACTACACTTCCAAACAGCATGCCATTTAGTTCATATTGAACTAAATTTCCAAAAGCACATGATTTTTGTTTAATGATTTGCATAATTCATTCTTAATAGGTATTTGAAGAAAAATATAGTTTAACTCCATAGTTTTGAAGAGAGGACACAAATAATCGATATCACTGGAGGATTATTCTATTAGGAAGTCTCCTTAACAGAAATTCAATATTTTTACTATATTTAATAGAAGAAATAACCTAAAAAGGTATTTTTTTAAAGTCAAACAGGCCAAAGAATACCATGAAACAATCTTCATAATTGTTATGTGAATTTTCCTCCAATTTAATAAGATTAGAAGAAATGACAGTATATTTCTAATAGAATAAAAATATACTGTGTTAGTTTTGACGAAAGATTTTTGGCCAGTTGATTCAGCAGTGAGCTCCAGCTTCAATGTTCACATTTATCTTCCAGCAGGGAACAAAGGCTAGAATTAGATTAGTGTAGAAAAATGGATGGTGATCGTCAACTGTAGGCTACTTGGATTCTGTAATGAATTCAGTTAGAACAGGCCACTCAGTCTGAGGCCAGATTTACATCAGAGGAATAAGAAATGAGATTGACTTTTTAACCTCCACCTTCTTAAAGGTAACAAACATTTTGTGGATAAAGCTTATCGTTATACTGTGACTTGAAATTTCTGAAAGGGTATCTTACTAGTCTCAATTTTCTGACTGAGAATCAGATGAGTAATGGGGCTTTTATGTGATAAACTGTGCTACTCAAACATTTGTGTGAAAACTGGCCCATCAATTTATTCTACGTTTTTGATAGAAGGTATTTTCCCTGTTGATCAACTAACCAGAATTACTTTTAATATTTAATAGGGATTTGTGTTAGTTGTTACAATCTGTGTTTAGTATCCAAATGTGTTACATATTAAGCAAAGCTTGGAGAGAGCTAATTGATTCATACTCTGCATATCCAGCCAAAGGAATATAGACCAACTGACCAATGGCACCTTCCTATGGGAAGCCAGTTCCGTTCATCTAACAGCAGTGATACCTTGAAATGAAACAGAAAACATGAAAATACTGTGTTAACCATAGAAAACACCTACAACTAGCCAAGTCATTCATTCCTTGTTGTAATAACATCCCTCATTTTTAGCTTTTCTATGTTATTAGGCTCACTAGACGTGTTCTGTAGATCAATGCTTATCAAACTTTAATAAACAAGAGAGGATCATATTAAAATGGAAAAAAATGTAGAGTCTGGTTCAGTAGGTTCTGGGTAAGGCCCAAGATTCTGCATTTCTGTCAAGTTTCCAGGTGATGCCAGGGCTTCTGGAGCGGGGCCACAATGGGAGTGACAGGGTTCTATGCTATGTGTGAGCCCCACTGGAGTTTAGGACTGGCAGCTGAGTTGAAAAGGAGATTGCATTTTGAATTTCATGTGCACAAAAGCATGGTATTTTTTACTTACACTGTGTGAGAAGGGGGTTAGGAAAGCTGAATTTAACCTACATTTTAGCACTTGTGTTAATTTCGGCACATTGTAACTACCTGGAAACTGCTGGACTACAGCATGTTTTATGAAAAGGGAACAGATTATTTAATAACAGTTCAAAAAGAGAATTATCAAGATACTGTTTAATATAATTAAATTTGGTACATCAATATCAGACTATTATTCAATATACATGTACGCTGAGTGAATTGCAAACCTGAGGTGTAAAGCAGGTAAAACTTAATTTTAAGAGTCTGGTATTGGCTCGGCGCCTATAGCTCAACCGGCTAAGGCGCCAGCCACGTACACCTAAGGTGGCGGGTTCGAATCCCCAGCCCGGACCCGCCAAACAACAATGACAGCTGCAACCAAAAAATAGCCGGGCGTTGTGGCGGGCGCCTGTGGTCCCAGCTACTTGGGAGGCGGAGGCAGGAGACTCGCTTGAGCCCAGGAGTTGGAGGTTGCTGTGAGCTGTAATGCCACGGCACTCTACCCAGGGGGACAGCTTGAGGCTCCGTCTCAAAAAAAAAAAAAAAAAAAAAGAGTCTGGTATTGATTAGCTACCTTAGGAAATATTTAATTAAAAAAGAAAAACATTTTACTACCGCTGGTTATGTCCACAAAATGGAAATCATAACATCAGAAAACCACTTGGTGTTTTTAGGTCTCTGCAGCTGATTTGTGCTGCCATCTAGTTATTATGACTACTAATGTCCAATATTCAAATGTAATAAAATTGGGTCCCTGTCAGGCTTTTAATTTCCATTTTTTGGTCACTTGTCTATCAAACATTTACTGAGAACCTACTGGGTCTGGTACTGTGCAAGGTGGTACTGGGATAGTGATAAACAAACATGTCGCCAGTCTTGTGTTAAAATACTGGGAAATCTGGATGACTTATATACAAAGTTCCTGTGTAAATACGTAAAATGTCTAACACAGAAAAACTTGTGTTAACACTGACCTCACAAACAACGGTAATCATAGCTAATGATTTGAAATACTGAAAAACTGTGTTTTACAGAATTATGTTCTGGAAAGTACTATTTGTTGTATTGGCTGGTGATTCATATTGGTACATGCATAGTTACAGTCTCAGAATTATTTTCAGAAATTGAATAATGTCTCTTGACTATTTAACCAAAATGATTAGATTTCACTGTCCTAACCACAGTTAGAATCACTCTGATGTCTTGTACTATCGTGTATTCAGAGTTGATCCTGGTTTTCCCAAAGTCAAAACACCAGCAGACGGGCAAATTACCAGATCAATATTTTGCTATTATTACTACATTTTGCTGTGTATAACACGCACCTTTTTGCCCAAATTTTTAAGGGAATAATAAGGATGCATATATATATGTGGATAATACTAATTTTCTTTAAGGCCCTAAAAATAATTCTATTAACTTATGAAATGACAAAATAATTTTCATGTAAAGCTCAATATTTTGGGATTGATCCCTGTCACTTAAAATATTACTATAAAAATGACCTTTTGTCATCAAATTATTTTTATAATTTATCAAGTCAACCTAAATTCTATTACTGAATGAAGCTAGCTCCATGTCCAGAGGGCCCAGTATAATGCGTACACTTCCACAGGTGAGATAAGACATTTTCTAGTATAAATCACTCACTCACACAGTTTTGGAAACTATTTGCACTAAGAACATTGGAAAACTGTTAAAAATATAAAAGATAACAATAAAGGGAAATTTCGTCTTACTTTTATAAAGGATGAATTTATTTTGCTTGAAGAGCTAAGTCTCATTCTCCATGGTTAATGCAGGATTGCTCATACCTAAATGGGAGAACATAATTAGATTTTTGGTTACTTTTGAACACATAGGCAAAGATTTGTTTATTCATCTGTGAATCAACCCCTCCCCCCATATCCCTTTCCCGGTATGCTTTCAAAGATGCCTTGTATATAGCATGGGTGTTTATAAGATGATTATACAGAAATACACATACACACCCCCATACAGTGGTGGCCACAACCAGTAATTCTCACACACACACAATTAGAGATACATACCCGAGAAAGTAGAGGAACAAAACAATGAACGATACATTGAACCTGGCGCTACTCACCTTACACTGACCCTTCCTGAGTTATCTAGCTACCTCATTCTAGTCAGACCAAACTTTGAGCCCTTTTTCATCTCACCTCATTTCTCTCCTTTCACATCATCCTTTAAGCTTTAGAAGTTTCTCATTTCATCCATCAAATTAATAGATAAATTAACATGCAAAACAACAGCACATAAAAGGTTGCTGTGAGCTGTGACGCCATGGCACTCTACCAAGGGTGACAGAGGGAGACTCGGTCTCAAAATTAAAAAAAAAAAAGAAAGAAAGAAACCACTTGTAGCCAGGTGCTGTGCCTAATGCCTATAATCCCAATCCCAGCTACCCAGGAAGCTGAGGCAGGAGGATTGGTTCAGCCCAGGAGTTTGACTTGGAGCAACATAGTGAGAACTCATCTCCAAAAAAAACAAACAAAACAAAACAGTAAAAGAAACCACTTGTGTGTAAATGTCGACTATATATGATGAAACAAGAATCCCTTCTGAAAGAAAAGGGATTGATTTTCCACCCTAACAGTTCCCCCCCGACACACAGGAGACTGATGGGTTCACATGGCAAATCAGCATCATCGATTTTGGCTTAGACGATACTCACCCAATTCAAATTATGAACACTCAAACCATGGGGATCTTTGGAAGGCACATATATTCATTAAAAATAACACTCTTTAAAGAAAGCTTGTATCTTAGGAGAATGTGAGTGATTTGACATTAAATAACAACTAAATGTTTTACTCAGGATCATCTGTTTTTCACTAACACTGAATCCCAGAGATTTGAAACAAACCAGTAAACACTTTAAAATGCAATGGACCAAAATCAGACAGCATGAGAGTTTGAAGGAAGAAAAGACTTAGAAATGAAGGAGGAAAGGTGTGATAAATTTGTTAATCTGGAAATTTTCTGAAAAATAGTGCCTTAATCATGGATCTATGGTTTTTAACTCATTTATATGGACACAACACACATATATGTGTATGTCTGATCACTCCACTTTATTTAATCCTTATCAACCCTAAGAAATGGATATTATTTTAAAGATAAGGAAGCTAAGTCTAAAAGAGCTTAGGTCATTAAAAATACCACACCCTAATAGGTGGGATTTGAAATCAGGTCTAACTTCAAAGCCTTGTTTATTCTTTGCTAGTAAACTATATTGACTTAAGTTACCAAAACATTAAATCAACCACAATAATAAGAAATGCGAGTGGGATATGAAGAAGTCACAAGCAGCTGAAGTTAGGATAATTATACATCACGTTACTTAGATATTCTGGAACTGAATGGAATGTTACAGTAAAAGGCAGAACTACAGAATTTAAAATCCCTTCCTATGGCTATTTTTCAACCTACCATCTGAATTGATGGCATTTTTTCCATTGTTTATGCTTTATATTTTGAATTTATTTCTATCATTTAATGTACAGTGATAAAAATTTAGTTCTTTAAATAGGGAAAAAGTAATGTAGATCCATCTTTCACAAAAATGATCATCTACTGCTAACAGATAATAAAGTACCTTACAACCAAGTTCTTTGGAAATAATTCTAAATTTACAATAGGAGTCTGACTCCAAAGTAATAAAAAATTTGCTTGAGTTCTCTGTACATTCTGGTTATTAGCTCTTTGTCAGATGTAAAGAAAGAATCCCATTACACTGTGGGCAACAGACATGATCAGAAGCTTTTCAACAGAAGTTAGACAAATGGCCATGAACATGAAAAAATGCTGAACATCACTGATCATCAGAGATATCACCTTACCCCTGTGAGAATGGCTTTTATTAAAAGGCCCAAACAATAAAAGCTGGTGTGGATGCAGAGAGAAAGGAATGCTTATACATTGCTGGTGGGACTGCAAGTTAGTACAACATCTTTGGAAACCGTATGGTGACCGCCTCAAAAAACTAAAAGTAGACCTACCATTTGATCAAGCAATCCCACTACTGGGTATTTACCCAAAGTGAAAAAAAAATCAATTTATCAAAAAGACACATGCACTTGAATGTTTGTTGCAGCACAATTCACAATCACAAAGATGTGGAATCCGCCCAAGTTCCCATTAATTCATGGAGTGGTATATGTGTACCATGGAGTACTACTACTCACCCATAAAAAGCATGAGATAATGCCTTTTGTAACAATCTGTATGGAACTCCATTCTCCTAACTGGAGTTTGGAGAATCAAGAAGGGAAAAACAAATACCACATGTCCTCACCATTAAGTTGAACTAATCAATGAACGAACACACATGTGCACAGAGCAAAGTAAAACTCAGTGGAAATCAGGTAGAGGGGTCAGGGGAGAAGGGTATAGGTAAAATCCAACCTTATGGGTACAGTGAACACTATTTGGGTGATGGGCACACTTACAGCCATGACTCAAGCACTACAAAAGCAATCTATATAACCAAAAACATCTGTACCCCCTTAATACTTCAAAATTTTTTTAAGTTAAAAAAAAAAGAAATAGAAATTCTATAGGTAACATAATGGAATTTTTTCCCCACTTTCACCTTTTAAAAGTAAACTCCATCAAAAGATAGCCAGACAAGCACAAGCACGCCCTTACCAGCTTTGCATTTTCCTGGGTTTGTGCCGCTCTCTGTCCAAGACTGAGAATCAGTAAGAAGGTGACTCTGGGACTCTCTCAATGGCTTTGCAGGAAATTGATGGTTTTCAGGACTGAAAAATAATGATAATTACAACCTATCTTTTGATAGTATTGTCAAGCATTTTTCAAACTATGGAACCCAAAGATTTGTGATACAACACGACTGTAGAAAGCACTCAAGATAATATGGCTCGGCTCGGCGCCTATAGCTCAGCTGGCTAAGGCGCCAGCCACATACACCCAAGGTGGCAGGTTCGAATCCCCAGCCCGGGCCCGCCAAACAACAATGACGGCTGCAACCAAAAAATAGCCGGGCGTTGTGGCGGGCGCCTGTGGTCCCAGCTACTTGGGAGGCGGAGGCAGGAGACTCGCTTGAGCCCAGGAGTTGGAGGTTGCTGTGAACTGTAATGCCATGGCACTCTACCCAGGAGGACAGCTTGAGGCTCTGTCTCAAAAAAAAAAAAAAAAAAAAAAAAAGATAATATGGCTCACAATGAGAAAAGGAGTCTTTCCTCAGCCTCTTCTTTCCTCCTATTACAACTAGATGACAACTTCTAACTCTGGCAAATCTTCAATTTTAAGATAGCGAATCGTCTTCAGCCTCAGAATTTAGAAATGGAATCTAGTTAGAACTTAGTAAGAACATTTTATTATCAATTTTATTTTTTAAGTCATATTCTACTTATTGCAAATAACAATGATTTCTCATTTATTGTATAAGAGTAGTATAAGTTTGGTTTAAAATAAGTTTAAGTGCCAATTTTAAAGAAACATGTTAAAGAAAAATATTAATTTTGTTAAATGGTATATGGATTTGGAAAAAGACACGAAGCTAACAGTAGGAAGACAAATACGAGAAGAACTGGCCTAGAGTTTCTGAAGTGGCCTACATGGTCTTGAACAAAGAATTCTTTACCTTCCTCTACAAAACTGAAAAAGCAAATTGGAGGACTCTCTTGCAGGACTGTTAAAAAACATCTGAGATTATCGGGTATTACACACTCGAATCTTCAATTTGGGGGTCAAAGAGTCTTGAAAGAAAAAATTCCTTTAAAATGTAGGTAGAAATGTTATATATTGACATATTGGATGGTATAAAAAATACGCATAAAATATTTCACTTAGGAAAAAGGTGACGGTTTAGAATACTCTGAAATAGTCATTATTATGTAATACTGTTCAAGAGAAAATTACTTAAAATTCTTTCAAGAAAAATTTCATACATTTTACTTTAATCATAGCTTTTTTTGAATTTAAGGATATGCTTTTATTCCTTAATAATAACTTCATATCCAAAATTTTTAAATATTTCAATTTTGTGCAGATTTAACAACTCCTTATTAAAATTTTGGAAGCAAATCTTATTTAAAAAGCATGTCTGTTCATATTAAAAGATCTTTCACTTTTTTTCCCTGTAGAAAACATCATGAGATGGTATTTTACTTTAATTCTTATTATTCCTCCACAGTTATTAATAGGAACAGCATACTAACTAGGGCCTGGTTTAGGGACTCTCTGCAGATTAATTACTGCTAACAGGACTCCAACAAACAGCAGCAAACACTATATTTACTGAGTACCTGTTACATCCATAAACAAAATAAAATTTTATTTCATTTCTCATAAAAATTTCACGATTACTGAGAAAGAATGATAAGTTATATACCTGTGTGTGCATGTGTGTATGTATACACATTATATGTATATATATAAAATAAGTCAGGTGTCAAGAGCTATAATAATTGTAAAATATAAAGCAGTCTGACCAGAAGCAGAGGAGTAGGTGGCTATTTTACAAAGGGTTATCGAAGACAGCCTCTCTTAGGTTACACCTGAGCAAAAAGAGACAGCTGAGAGAAGGCAGAGAGCACCCCAAAATCTGGAGGAAGAGTGGTGAGGAGAGAACTGGCAAGTAGGGAGACACTGATTAAAGAACACGGCTGGTATATCTGAGGGCCAGCAGGGTCTGGGTGTCCGGGATTGTGAGTGGCGCAACGGTGGTAGAGAATGACATCAGAGAGCTGTCTGGGCCAAATCAGATGGTCTCGTGATGATGGTCAGACCGTACATCTGCTTTTATTCTGAGGAAGATGGGAAACCAATAGAATTTTCAGCAGAAGAGTGAGACGATCTGCCTTACATTCGTGGCGGAGAGTAGCCTGCAGGACAGCAAGACTGAACTGAGAAGGTCAGTTAGGCAATGACTGAAATCGTCCACGTGAGGAGGGATGACGGCTGGACCAGGGAAGCGGCCGTGGAGGTGGTAGGAAAGTATTCATATTATAGATGTATCTGCAAATGCAGTAAACACCAGGTATTTACTTGTGTTTAAGTCTTTTGGGTGACCCAGGTGCTGTCCTAAACACCAGGGAGGAAGAGGTCACTAAAACTGATACGTGGAAGGACTGAGGAGAACTGGAGCAAGACTAGCCACAGAAATTCTGTAGGAGCTAAACAAGAGAATTTTGTAGGAAAAGAAAAGAGGGAGTTTGATGGAAGTGTCTTGGATTGTGTATGAAAACACATTGTACCCCCAAAGTGCATCAATGTACACAGTTACCATTCAATAAAAAAAAATAAATAAATAAAAGGAGACCAAACTACAGACAAAAAAAAAAAGAAAAGAGGCTTTCAAAATCTCATCATTTTAAGAAAAAGGAAGAGAGGCCCAGTGAGCTTATTTGACTTCTTCAAGATCATCTAGCTGGGTAACAACGCCAGAACAGAGATTTCTCCCAAACCCCATGGCACCCTTAGTAGGAGAAATATTATCTCTAAAACCCAAATATTCTTAAACTACAAAAATCAGTTAACAGGGGCAAAAAATATTATGGTAAACTATGATTAAATTTTATAGAAGCTTGAAAACATTCTAAATAATTTATCAGAACTAGATTTTTCCGCAATGAGGTATAAGAGAAACCATTCACATTTAGCTCTGTAGAATTTTCTAGGCCAAACTCTTAGGATATGACGTGGTTTTAAAAAACCTTCTGATATCTTTGAATATCCCTGTGAAATACATCTGGCTCCTTCACTGATAGTCTGGCCTGCACATAGCTCACTCTAGGGATGGGGTAGCAAATAGGTTTTGTCTCTTTTATAATTTTGGAATGGCTGCCAGGAACACTCTCTTTAGAAGGATTTGGGGGTTACTCAAGTCTCCACAGGAAAAAGTGCTGAGTTCAATAAGAAATATACACTGAATGGGAGGGATATTGGTGTGGGTCCTTGTATGTGGCACTGCAGCATGCAAGGAAATGTCTAAAATTTAAGGAAGAATGACATTATAGTTAGGCTTTTGCTACTGGCTTCCATTGAAAGATTAGAGGTATGGTCATATACAAATAAATCTGGCATAAAGACACAAAAATTGGACTCTTATACCATTGAAAATTCATATCTGGCAATTTAAAAGCTTAAGTAGTTCTTCCTTTTGCCAGTTAGTAGCAAATTCAGAATGAAATTTCAGGTCTTTGCTGTCCTCAAATTCTTGATAGAATGAAAACAGAACAAATCTGAAGCTGGATCAAAAGTCTCCAGACAATGAATCTCCAGGACCCACTTCCCTTCCCTCTCCACAGACATGGCTCAGATGGTGGTAAGAGGCCTTGCAATAGCACTATTGCTGATGGATTGTCAAGCTGGTGTCTGGGGTTCCATTTGATCTTCACAGTCCTGATCTAGGGAAGTTCTTCTGGCCTCTATACTAGTTATCACGAAGAGGATGTCAAGAGTCAGAGGGGAAATCTGTCCTGTTTACACGAGCACTGGGAACTAATTTGGAGTTACACGTCTTTCTTTTAAGCATGACATTTAAAAGATAGTAATATATTTCAGGCAATCAAAACACATACTGCAAATTAATACCTTTTACCTCCCACCTAGACTAGTAACAGAATATTACAAACATAATTCAAACTCCTTCCCCGTGTATCCCTTCTCATTCCAAGTGGAAACCATTGTATTAATAGTAAATTATCATATGTTCTTATAGTTTTTTTAAGGAACATATAACCAAAGGATATCAGAGATAAAATACAGTATTTAAAAATAAAATGAAAATATATATATATATGAGATTACTTTTTAGCTGCTGAATTCAGTCCCGCAGGAGTAGATGGTTGTTCAGGATCCTGGTTAACAAGGCAAGTTGGAAAGGAGCAGCCATCACCTAGACTATAATTAAAATTAAAACTTATAATTGAAGCATAAAAAAGACAACAGAGTGAAATCCTATTAAAATGCTGATGTTTGAAAGCAGAACATTTGATATTATAGGCAAAATGTGTATCAGATATCGGCTTCAATATAGTTGTTTATGTTTAGGAAAATGATAAGTTAATTCATTTCCACATTGACGTAACAGTGAATCATAAAATGATACTTTAAAATGTAGGAGTCCCTATCCAGAATTACAGAGCTATGGCACTGGAGGCTTTTCCTAACATTTTGTTGGATTATTTTCATTAGTTTGAAGCCTGAAAAATTTCACAACAAGGTACCTCGAAAAAACGGGTAGCAACCAGTACTTCTTCTCATCACCAAAAACTTGTCGCATGTTTTTACTGAAACCCAAGCTGAATCCATTCTTATCTGTTCCATGTCGAAATACTGGACTTCTGAATGCCTCTAAAAAAAGATTGTAAAACAATCACATGAGTAAAGAACCTATTAACTAGTAATCCCTAAGATTTAGCAATAATTGAATTAAGTGAGGAAACTCTGAAAAGCAGTGGTTAGCGTACCTCGGTTGGGTACTTAAGTACTTTATTAACAACCCTGAAATACAGTTGTCTGGTCTGCTTTAAAATATCATATAAGTATATCTGTTTTAATTCTTAAACAACTTTTTTATTATTATGGAAAATTAGAAAATGCAAAGTAGCAAATTAAAACTTTATATCTCATAGGTCTTTTGATTAATAGATAAATAGGTGGATGGATAAACAGAGAGAAATAAAAATCTACATTTTTTAACCAAAACGAGACTATACTTTATATATAGTCTACACCCTGTGCTTTTAATCAATAAACTCCATTTGCTAATTTCACTGACATTTTATCTCATCTAATCATAAAATTGTTCCAGCTGACTAAAAAAATGTACTTTAAAGCTACTTTGTCCAAACCAGGATCTGATCCAGAGCCAGAGGCTGCAGCTGGTTGAGTTCACTCTGCACATGAAAGCTGATGTTCAGAGAGGCCCTGGGACTGGCCTAAGGTCACATGTCAAATAAACGACACAGGGAGACTTGTGCCAGGCCTTCAGTGTTCTCTCTATAACTCTACTTGTTCTTCTTGAATAACACTGAAATGCAAAATCTAAAATTTTTGGATGAAATATATGAACAAAGAAGTGTAATGATTTTTGTCCACCATTTAAAAAAGAAAAATCTAACTAGCAGAGCCAGGTACTAGGGAAAATGTGGCAATTTGCAAAATCCTCAGTATGTGTCATCCTAGGATATATGGCTTTTTGCATGACATTTTTATAATCATAGGACCATGCTGTCCAGAGGAAGTCCCTTCCATGCTACAAGTTACATCTAGAAGTTTCTAGAAGTAAAAAGCTTCCAGAAATAATTCATTTAATTTTAATGAATTATAATTTAATTGCCCAACATATAATTTGAAATGAGATACTTTGCTTAGTAATTATATTATTATACCAGTATTTTCACCCTGATGATATTTGTAGTAATAAGATTTCACCAGAATGCTAAAAATTAGCTTTAACTGACTACCTACTATAATTAATCTTCACTATATATTATAATCATCGAATCTCACAGCTTGGCAGGCCCGTTATATAAGGATTTATAAGTTTGGCTGCTTTCCCAAACTCCTAACCTTAGCTGGGAAACTCTACACAACAGAGTCCCTGCTTATTTTTCAAACCTCCTAATATATTTCTTATTCTTTAGCTTTCTATGCTCTTATAACATAAAAAGTTTCTCAAATATTCCTATTTTTTCTCCTCTTTTCCTGTAGGACTTTTTGTTTTTAACTGAGGTGAAATTCACAGAACAAAAAATTAGCCTTTGAAAGCATTCAGTGGTACTTAATATATTCACAACTTTGTGCAGCTGCCACCTACATCAAGTTCCTAAATATTTTCATCATCCCCAAAGAAACTCCCCAGTAAGCTGTCACTCCCAACTTCCCATTCTCCTCATCCCTGGCAACCACTGATATGATTTTTTTAAGCAATCCACCTATTTCTATGTATTTTATGTAACTGGGAATCATATAATGAATGATCTTCCGTGATCGGCTTCTTTCACTCAGCGAGTCTTCAAGGCTCCTACATGGTACAGCTTATGTCAGTACTTTGCTCCTTAATACCCCACTGCAGTTTTGCCATATTCCCTCCATTCTTTGATGAACATTTGGGTTATTTCCACCTTCTGACTAGCAAGAATGGTCGTTGAACAGTGGGATACAAGTATCGTTTGAGTTTCTGATTTTAATTATTTGGGGTATAAACATAGGCCTGAAACTGCTGGCTCACATGGATACTATGTTTAACTTGGTAGAGAACTGCCAAACTGATTTTCAGTGTTTCATATTCCCCCCAGCAATGTATGAGGGTTGCAATTTCTCTGCCTCCTCATCAACCCTTGTTTCTGTTTCTTTGTTGTGTCTATCTAGTGAGTATAAAGAGGAACCTCACTGTGGTTTTAATTTGCATTTCCCAATGATGTTGAAAACACTGTTCTGTGATTAATGACCATTTGTATATTTTCTTTATTTTTAAACATCTATTCAAACCCCTTGCTGATTTTTTAATTGGGTTGTTTGTGTGTTTATTGTTAACTCATAAGATTTCTTGGCTCGGCATCTGTGGCTCAAGTGGCTAAGGCGCCAGCCATGTACACCCAAGGTGGTAGGTTCGAATCCAGCCCAGGCCTGCCAAACAACAATGACAGCTGCAACCAAAAAATAGCCAGGCGTTGTGGCCGGCGCCTGTGGTCCCAGCTACTGGGGAGGCTGAGGCAGGAGACTCGCTTGAGCCCAGGAGTTGGAGGTTGCTGTGAACTATGATGCCACGGCACTCTACCCAGGGGGACAGCTTGAGGCTCCTGTCTCAGAAAAAAAAAAAGATTTCTTTGCATATTCAGTATATTCTCATTCTACAGACTATCTTACTACTTTCTTAATGATATCCTTTGATGTACAGTTTTTAATTTTGACAGTTTAAATTACCTGTTTTTTCTTTTTTTGCTCACACTTTTGATATCTAAGAGTTCATTGCCATATTAAGATTTAAGTCCTTAAGATTTATCCATATATTTTCTTCTAAGAGTTTTATGGTTTTTGCTCTTTCACTTAGGTCATTTACCCATTTGTAGTTCATTTTTGTATCTGGTGTGAGGTAGGGTTTCAGTTTCATTTTTTGCCATGTGGATAATGAGCTGTCCCAGCACTATTTGTCAAAAATAGTTTCCTTTCCTCATTGAATGGTCTTGGGATCTTTGTCAAAAATCAACTGGATAAAAATGTATGGGTTTACTTCTGGACTCTCAATTCTATGATATTGATCTACATGTCTCTCCTTATTCCAGGACTACACTGTTTTGATGGCTGTAGCTTTGTAGTTTAGTTTTGAAATCAAGAATGTGAGTCTTCTAGCTTTGCTCTTCTCCTGGTGATTATGATTTTGGCTATTTGGGGCCTCTTGCATTCATCTTCTACATGAATTTGAGGTTCAGCTTTTCAATTTATGCAAAAGGACCACTAAAACTGCACTGAGGGCAGCCATAGTGGTTCATGTCTGCAATCCTGGCACTTTGGGAGGCCAAAGCAGAAGCCCAAGGACTGCTTGAGGCTAGGAGTTCAAGACCAGCCTGGGCAACAAAGTGAAACCTCATCTTTACAAACAATAGAACAATTAGGTGCTGGGGCAGGTGCTTCTAGTCCCAACTACTCAGGAGGCTGAAGCAGAAGGATCACTTGAGCCCAGGAGTTTGAGGTTGCAGTGAGCTATGACACCACTGACTTTAGCCCATGCAAGAGTGAGATTCTCTTTCTTTCAAAAAAAAAAAAATGCACTAAATCTGCAAAATCACTTGGAGCAGTATTACCATCTTAACAATCTGAGGTCCTCCATTCTATGAACATGGGAAGTTTTCTTGAATTTCTTTCAGTAATGTTTTATAGTTTTCAGTGTGCTAGCATTGCACCTCCTTGGTAGATCTATTCCCAAGTATTTTATTTTATGAGTGCTTTTAAAATGGGATTGTTTTCTTAATTTCTTTTTTGAATGGTTTATTGCTAGTGTGTGGAAATATAATTAATTTTTCTCTACACTGAGTGTAACTTTTCAGATTTGTTTATTAGTTAACTGTGAATCCTTTACGGTTTTCCATATAAAAGAGCCTGTCATAAGTTTAGTCTTATTTCTTTTGGGTAACTTTATTTCTTTTTCTTAACTACTCTGGCTTGAACTTCCAGTACAGTGTGGAATAGCAATAGTGAAAAAGGGCATCCTTGTTTTATTCCTGATCTTAGGAGCAAAGCTTTTAGTTTTTCACTGTTGACTATAATATTATTATTATTAATTTATATATACATTCTTTTTTTTTTTTGCAGTTTTTGGCCAGGGCTGGGTTTGAACCCACCATCTCTGGCATATGGAGCCAATGCCCTCCTCCTTTGAGCCACAGGCGCCATCCGATTATAATGTTACTTCTTATAAATGCTCATTGTCTCCTAACCTGGTTGAGAAAGTTCCCTTCTTTTCCTAGTTCGATGAGTGTGATTTTTTTCCCTAATAATGAAAAGATGTTGGATTTTTTTTTTTTTTTTGAGACTATGTTGCCCTGGATAGAGTGCCGTGGTGTCACAGTCCACAGCAACCTCAAACTGTTGGGCTTAAGCAATTCTCTTTCCTCAGCCTCCCAAGTAGCTGGGACTACAGGGGCCTGCCACAATGCCCGGCTATTGTTTGGTTGTAGTTGTCATCGTTGTTTGGCAGGCCCGGGCTGGATTCGAACCTACCAACTTCAGTGTATGTGGCTGGCGCCCTGGCCACTGAGCTACAGGTGCCAAGCCAGGATGTTGGATTTTTGCCACATACTTTTCTGTATCAACTGAAATGATCGTGTGTTTTTTCCTTCATTCTATTAATGTGCTATATTACAACTGATTGATTTTGACATATAGAAACACCCTTGCATTCTTGGGACAAATCCTACTTGATTTGTGTATAGTAATTTTAATATATTGCTGGATTTGGTATGCTAGTATTTTGTCCAGGATCATTGCATCCATATACATAAGAGATAGTGGTCTATAGTTTTCTTGTGATGTCTTTGGCTTTGGGACTAGAGCAATGCTGATCTCACAGACTGAGTTAGGGAGTGTTTCTTCCTCTTCTCTTCTAATTTTTACAGAGTTTAAGAAGATTTTGAGTTAATTATTCTTTATATGTCTGCTTAAATTCACCAGTGAAGTTACTCTGTTCCAGGCTTTTCTTCATTGTCAGCTTTTGATTACTGATGCACTCTCTTCTTCTTATGGGTCTGTTCTGATTTTCCATTTCTTCTTTAGTCAGTTTGGTAGTTTGTATGTTTCTAGTAATCCTTCCATTTCATCCAGCTTCTATAGTGTTTTTTTTTTTGAAGTATAGTTATTTTCTTATAATCCTTTTTATTTTTATAAAATCAGTAGTAATATCTCCACTTTCATTTCTGATTTTTGTAATGAGTCTTCTCTTTTTTTCTTGCTTAGCCAAGAGTTGTTAAATTTGTTGATATTGTTAAAGAACCAACTGTTGGTTTCATTGATTTACTATTTTAAAAACAGTAAATTCTTTATTTCCATGACCTCCTATCTTTATTTCCCTCCTTCTGCTGGCTTTGGTTTATTTTGCTCTTCTTTTTCTAGCTCCTAAAGGTGAAAGGTTTTAATAGAGACAGTTCTCCTTTTTCCTATAGGTGTTTACAGCTATACGGTTCCCTCTAAGTGACTGCCTTTGTTACCATCTCGTATCTGTAGGGTTTGTAAACACACTCTTTTCTCTTCCCATGGCTGACTTCTTAGGTTAAGTCCTGTTTTGTTGGGAGGAGCTCTTCCCTGACCACTCATTCTAAATAGGTTCCCTCCCACCATCCTCACTCCTTATTCACACCTCAGCATCTTGTTCATTTCCCTCAGAGAACTTAGCATGTTGTAGTTACTTTCATGTTTGGCTGTTCATTTTTGTGCCCCTCACTACATACAGTGTTCTGCCCTTGCTCACCACCGTGTATGTTAACACGTCATGTTTTCCAGCAATGGCCATCAGGGAACATACGGAGTGAGTGAACTTGAGTGTAGCTAAGTGAAATTCCACAACAATTGTGGGAAAGAAGAATAATTTTACCACTTCAGGACAACTTGGCATTGAATCATGTGACGACTGGCAATGAGTATCTATGTATTGAAAGTTCTGTCAACTATTATACAGCAGCTGTATACTCACCTAACGTGGACTTATTTTTGCTGACAAGCCAACAATGATAGCCAAACAGAGAAAACAAGCTGACAGAGAACATAGCTGCAGCAAAGAATAAAAACATGATATGGAACTTGGCTTGAGTATCAGGTAGGCCATTCTATAAAGAAAGGAAGAGAATAAAATGTTTTGTCAAAGGGATATGTATTCCCCTACTTTTATAAGTAAATCAGTAAGTTTTTTTTTTTGTGCTTAAGAATTTCCTTAAATTTAGATATGGATACGTGGCTTTATATTAAAACCTTGGGGAAAATATGTACTTCATCAGATTAAAATAAATGCTGGAAATATGAATATACAGGGTGGACGTAAAGTTCATGTGCACTTTAAAATAGTTTAACAGAGTAAACTCCACACGAACTTTATGTCCACCCTGTATATGGAAATGATATTAAAATTTAGAATGTTTATCTTATTTTGCATAAACAAACCACAGAAAATTATGGCAGTATGTGTGTAAACAATAACAGCAGGAAGCAACATGGAAAGAACTATCAGATATGGTTTTAAATTTATTCCCTGAATGTTTTGTTAAAATGCTATAAAGTCACAGATATTTAAATAGTTTTATTACAATGCCAGAAGGTGAAGGTTAACTGGCACAATTTAGCTACTATTCTCATTGATGTTTTACATTACTACAAACAACAGTGTCAACTAAAAGAATACACAGAACAACACGTTCACGTAATGGTTCAAGCTGTTATAAATAACAGCATCACAGAAAAGATCAACTTTAGCACAGAACACCTGTGTAAAATACACCTTACAATATCCATGTGTCCATCTCAGAGCAAAGCCAGTTGGACTTTCACTGTTTGTAGGTCCAAAGAGACTGGCTGTGGAGTGGAGGGCTAGAGGCTCTGGACACAGCACCAGAGCTGCTAAGCAGTGGTCCTTCTGGAAAAAGGTCATGATGTTTCAATTCCCTGGGCCACCTGACAGATTGATGCACGTATCACTGATAGGTTTTGACAGCAGGGTCTGCACAGCGAAAACTTTGGTAGTTCCTTTCCAAATAGATTTGTGTTTTCAAACTAAGACCATCCATAGGAATGAGCAGCAGTGAGGTAATATTCTCCCAGATATTCACTGGGGATCATTCTTTAAACTGGTATCCTTGAACGATAGGACCCTAGTGTTAAGGAATGTCACGGCCACACAAGAGGCATTCAATAATGCTTTGGCATTAAATTTGGCTCAAGCCTTATATAAACAATCTCACCATTCAGAAATGTTTACCATAATAAAGGATAATTTAATGAAAATAATAAAGCAATCCTAGAAAGAGATAAATGACTTTTTACCATCATTTGGTGTTCACAAGGAGGATATCTGGGTATTTATAATATTCAGTTTAGATTTAGGTTTTGCCAACATTTAAAACATTTAGTGCAGAAAACAAATGAGTTACCTAAAGCCTAATCAAGCAACACCTAATAAAAATTCAGGATATTATAAACATAATTGTTTAAAAAATAATCTTGTTACACATAAAGACAACACTTCTATTTTCAAATTTGAAAAAAAAAAAAAACGTATATAGTCAATTCTCACTCTTCGCAGTGGCTATGTTTTAGGAAGTTACCATGAATAGTTTGTGACTGTGAACCACTGCTCCTCGGGAGTACCTGGGGTTAGGTTTCCATGGGTCTCTCTGGTCACAACATCTTCATCAGCTCATCAATACAGAACCTTGTTTTATATGGGTTTCAGCTGAAAGGCACCTCATTTAATAAATATTGCTGATTCATTAATATAAAGCTCAGGTCGAGAAGTGCCTCAACTCATGCCTGCATTAAGCTTATGTAACACATGTATTTTCTCCATAAGACACATCAATCTTCTCTTGTTGAGAAACACTAGACCACACTTCAGCACTATACTTGGAGACCATTTTAACAGCAAAATCAATAAAAAGCACAAAAAGGCAAAAAAAAAATGGCACTACATTGACTGTGAAAAGCGCGCCTGTTTACAGTATGAGAGCTGAAACAAGAAGGCAGCGTGTCACCTGTTCAACCTCAACTGAGAGTGTGCACAGAGGACAGCTCAAATATTTTGTCACCGTGCAAATGTCTGCAGACGGACCACAAAAGCTCTGGTGGTATTGATGGGGGGTTGCAAATACATTTTAATGGAGTAGGGAAATCACCAAAGAACAGAATCTGTGAAAAATGACAGCTGACTGATACCGATTAGCTCTCTACTCTAAAATCAGTGTGTGAAATAGTTCTCTACTGAAAAACCTAAATTCCATACTTTTGTATACTAAAAAAGAATCACCAAGGTTATGACTTACTGTCCAAAATTTGATAAAATACTGTAAATCTGTAGCCGCAATAAAAAGGCAGTAGAGCAGAGAATAAGCCAAGAAAAGGAGAAAGAATTTATAATTGGAAAATCCAACACAGTTGTTCACCCTGTCGACAAAACAAAAATATTTTCAGTGAGATTCAGATCTTCCATCTTGGTATGTGTATGCTCAACTAAACAGAGTATTTAGTTTCTTCTCATTTTAAATTTATTAGCATTTCTTTATGTATAACTCATAAGATTTCTTGGTACAAACATTAAAAAATCTGTTTCACTATGAAGAGATTTCTGTCTATATTTAAACATTATTATACTTAATTTTGCTTTAATCAATCATGAACAATGATTTTGCACATCCAAGTATTTACAAATAAACACACCCATAAAAGGATAGAGCTTATAAGAAACTTAAGTCAGGCTAAGTCTTTCCTCTACATCAGTGGTTCTCAACCTGTGGGTCGCAATCTGCAGGAACTATATTAAAGGGTTGCAGCATTAGGAAGGTTGAGAACCACTGCTCTGTGTTATCTTTGGGTTTGATTTCCAACAGTGATTAAGTTAAAATCTTTGAAGTCTTCCCAAATTAGATGAAACGTCTTCACAAACTGTACTTTGCATGCTTTTACTGAAGCAACCAGACTGTCAAAACACTTTAAACTGGAGGTTTAAGAAAAGAAATAGAAGTGGGAGTCAGACAGCCAGGGTCATAACGCCCCTTTGACAATTAATTATGTGGCCCCAATGGAGTGAAATAGTCTATCAGAATGTCATTTTCCTTATCTGTAAAATAAGCATTCTGAGATCATCTCTGGAAGCCAGTCTTATGTTCTATGATTCCAAATATGGAAATTTATAACTTTGCAGTTCTTACGCTAAGATCATTATATTGAGGGGGGAATTAAAACTCAAACAATCATATTAATATAAATACGACTCATTTTATAGTCATGCTTTCTATCTAAGTTTTTTCTCTCCGTATCTCAAAAGCAAGGACATCACTGGCTCGACTACCTTGTGTCAATGAGATATGACACCTATGTAGAAGGGGCCAGGGCCTTCACTGGTGGAGTAACTGGCACAATGACCATACCGCATGGAACATACACACATTGTTCTCTTTCCTCAAATGTCCTTGTTCCCACTCTAAGGTTGGTAAAATAATCTCACTCTCTACTGATTTTGCTAATAAAATATTTTTCCTTCTAAGTTTTTTAAATGAAATCATGTTTACAAAAAAATTACATTTTTTACTTAAAAACTTTTAAGGTATGGAAGAGTATTAGATTTAATATTTTTTTTAACTTAAAAGTCTTGTATATGGGAAATGAATTCATAAAAAGGCCAAAAATTGTGGGTTGACGCTAGAAAACAGTACTATTTGCACATTAGAGGTTCCAGTGGGAATGCAAACCAGTTGCTGAGATTGTCCTTTATGGTGCTGGAATGAAATAATGGCAAGAAATCATATTGGAAACAATTAGCCTACTCTAATTGTTTTCTGTCTCAAAAGGATACAAAGTATTCCCTTTGATTACTTGCATCATTTAAAGAGGAAAGACTGAGAAGGCGAAAGCTAGGATCCTGGAAGACTTTGGATAATGTGGGTCTAACAATGATTCTTGTGGACAAGAAGAAAATTTGAAGGGAGCAGACAGACTGTTCCTCTTCCTATAGGAAGGTAGGAAGCAGTTTTTGCATTAAATGATGAAGATCATTTTTATAGAAAGAAAATGATTTTGATCCTAGATTTTATAACATCTAATTTAGCTTAATTTAACTTCTACTTGAGAGGATGGCATAATTTGCCAGGTCAGAGCCAGGAAGCACATGAGAAAGTAAATAAAGAACAAGCATTTTAGAGTTTGATATTTATATACATAGAGTTTATGCATGTACAGTGTGTGTGTGTATGAAATCTAGTAATAATATTTATTTTGCATAATACTTTAGTCTCTTCAAGACAGGTTTTGGTTCAACATTTTGACTGCCTATTGCTCTGTAGACTAAATCTGAGATGGAAGAAGACTTCTAAGTCTGAGCTTCTTCTGTCTAGAATTATAAGAATTTACACCTTATGTTATTCAAGTTCAGCATAAAATGCAGCTTTTGGTCCAACTTATACCTAGTATGGGCCTGTGGGTATGTGTACCTGAAATGATATATAAGGCTTGTAGAATAAGAACAATTCATGCCCAAATCCAACCTGGCTAGCAAACTTTTTTTTTTTTTTTTTTTTCCTGGCTAGCAAACTTTAGCATGGTTGTCAGAGAGGTGCACACGGACATGAAAAACGCAGGAAAAGGCAAGAGAGTCAACCTTTATTTAGCAATGAGATCTTTCAAATAATCTTCTAAATTACCTAATTCCATGACTCAAAAATGTAGGACAAAATTAATAAAATTTATGGAGTGGAAAAGTCTTGTTTAAACGTACCTGTATATATACATATATATTTTGCTACTACACACCTTCATATTGTTTTATTTAAAATAAACTGTTAAAACTTTATTTATTTAATTTGAGACAGACTCTCCCTCTGTTACCCTGGTTGAGTGCTGTGTTGTCATAGCTCACAGCAACCTCAAATTCTTGGGCTCAAGCCATCCTCTATGTAGCCTCTGAAGTAGCTGGGACTACAGGCTCCACCACAGTGCCAGGCTAGTTGTTTTTGTTTGTCTGTCTGTTTGTTTTTTTAGTGGAAGCCCTGTTCTTGCTCAGGCTGGTCTCGAACTCATGAGCTCAAGCAATCCTCCCACTGAGGCCTCTCAGACTGCTAGGATTAGAGGCATAAGTCACTGTGCCCAGCCAAATTGTTAAAATTTTTGATGACTTAATTCTTTATTAGAACTTTCCACTGATGTATCTAATATAATTTATGTGTACATCTTTCTGTATTATTTCTGTGAACTATTTTAGAATCTCTGTGCTTATGTAGATACACACAAAGAAAGCCCTTTGTTTGGAACTAACATGCTAAATTAACTTTTATAATGTTAACCAGTTGGTTTTAAAATTATTTCTTAGAAATTCTCCTAATTACACAAATATTACAGAATAAATCTGAAATTACCTCCTAGGTAAGCTAATATTTCACTTGTAAAAAAATTTAAATAGATGTAATTCCTTGTGTTAAAATTTATAAGAACCAGAAACATTAAGTATAGAGTCATACTCACCATGGGCAATGATGATCCATCTTTAAAATACATCTAGAAAACAAAACAAAACACAAAACCCAACATCCCACAAAATTTTAATCACATTAAATTATAAAAAGAAAATAAAATCTGGTTATTTCAGAGTTGTGGCAAGTAAAATACTGCAGAATTATTTACTTATTGAAAAGCTGAACGATTGCAAAAATTCTTATCTAAAATAGACACTAGAGCAAAGTCTAGTTAACATGTAATAGAACTTTAAATTCAAAATATACATGTGTGAGGATGTAAATCAACTTATTTTCTAAGAACAACATAATATGGTAATACATAGTATACAACAATCTTATGCTAAAGAAAGTACAAAACACGAACAGATTTACCTTAAGTTTGGATAAAACATTTTCTTTAATATTAACTCTTAAGCCATGCAATACTGTCTATGTAGTATATTAAATACCTAACAACATCTGACTGTCAGGAAATCAACCGAAGTTATCTGCATAAAGATGGGAAACACTCATAGAAGAAGTGTTGCTGAATTGAGCTGGCCAAGTCAGAACTGCTAAAACTCATGCACTTGACGTCATCGTGAATCTGGGGGGAAAGGGAAAGTTGACTGTGGCCCTGTGCCTCGCTGGCGTTAATATACCAATTGTATTTCCTAAATAACAATCTGAGAAATATGAGTAAGAAAGACATAATATGGAGAACAGTGAGAAAAGAGACCACCAGCACGTAGGTATTTTGGAAATGAAAGGTTTCCTTACTTGTCGCAGACAGAACAGTGATGGCAGCGATCTGGTTTTATAAGTTGGCATCTGTCACAATATCGGATTGCTGGGAACAAAAAGCTCCTCTTAGTCTTAGATTTAACACTGAATTGAATATACAATGAAATGGCTTTTATCATCTCTCCGTGTTTAAATTCTAAAAAGCACACAGAATTCAAATTTAGTAAAAGTAAAATATTTGACTCTGCTTAAATACAAAAATGGACTGCCTTGCCTACAGCCATAGTTCTCTAGAGAGGTTTCCCAAGGGCCGAGAATCTTCTGATGAAAATTTCTGAAGCCATTCTCACTTGTCGGGATGAGGCTCACCAAGGGCACAAACATGTCCATTTCCATCAAAATAATCAGAATGTCTCCCTCAGTTAAACCCATTTATTTCCTATACCCTGCTATGTGTCAAAAACCTTTTAAGTTGGACTAGGCATGAGATGACCTTTTTTTTTTTTGCACCTTGTATTGCCAGTAAATAGCTTTGGAAACTGAGGCAGTAATTTATTTCTAGGGGTCTTAAATTTCCTATTGGCAGCCTAGGTATAAAGTTACAAAATTTCTGGGAGAGTCCTGGTAGGCAAGTATCAAAAGTCCATGGATGGGCTCGGTGCCTATAGCTCAACCGGCTAAGGCGCCAGCCGCGTACACCTAAGGTGGCGGGTTCGAATCCCCAGCCCGGACCCGCCAAACAACAATGACGGCTGCAACCAAAAAATAGCCGGGCATTGTGGTGGGCACCTGTGGTCCCAGCTACTTGGGAGGCGGAGGCAGGAGACTCGCTTGAGCCCAGGAGTTGGAGGTTGCTGTGAGCTGTAATGCCATGGCACTCTGCCAAGGGGGACAGCTTGAGGCTCTGTCTCAAAAAAAAAAAAAAAGTCCATGGATGTCAGTTGTTTAAGTGAATAGTTGTTAAATTACCTAAAAAATATGACCTAAGTAAGATTTATTAATTTAGTTCATTTGTAAAAAAAAAATAGTATAAATTTTAGAATTAGATAAAAAAAAATAGTTCTCATACCTACCTAATGGATGCTTTACATAACTCATATAATTACTGTTTTAAGGCTATGAAAAAAGCCTGAAAAGTATTAATTTTATATTCACTATAGATACTGTTCCCTTAAATTAAATAGGAAAGTTTATAATTGAAACTTTAAATGTCAATACTACTACAAATGGAAACTTGTGCACTTCTCACGCTTCACTGATTCACAACTAAGTAGGCAGAAAAGAATAAAAGTCAGTTTTAGTTGAGATCCCTTTGACACAGTGTTTGTTATTCATGTTTCCATTCTGTTTTATGGAATTGTAGAGGAAATATTTAATAGCAATCCAAGAAATAACACGGTATTTTAAAATGAGCGTCTGACATATAAATATGGTTCTAACAGTCATGGTAACATCCTGTTCAGATACTGTTCCAAAGCTCATCGTGGACCCTTACCTCCAGACATGGTCCTGGTGTAGATGGGAAGGTCCTTGGCTGCCCGCCTAAGAATTTCCTGATGGGCTTCTCCTCTTGGCTCTCTCTCCAACAGCTCCTTCTCTGCATAAGAGAGATGGAACTGGGGAATAAATTTAAATTTCAATCAGTATTCATTTTCAGAGATATTATAACATCTTGGTCCACTCTACCATACCCAGTAAAAGGCATTTATAAAGTATTAATGGTATACAGCATATTCAGAGAGATGACAGAGTGTGAAATCGGGGAAAGTCTGTTATCCTCACAGTTTATGCTGCTAGAAAAAGGGTTTAATATGCACTCCAAAAAGAACTATGTAATAATACAGTAATACCTACTTCCTCGATGTTTATAGAACTCAGAATACTGTACAGAAAAATGCTTATGGAATATCGAATCTGTGCAAATATTAGATATACTAATAAATAAAATGGCCCAATGAATATCTCAGTGAAAGAATTTTTCATTTGGATGTTATTCAGAACAAAAGGAGAAACAAATCCAGTAAGCACAGTTTCTCATCTAAGTGAGTTGTAACTTAGAGATAATAATTCCATGAAATCTCCTCCAGGACTCAACAGAAGTAACAATTTCACTTTGTACACTGTCAATTTGGCTCATCTAGTTAAAAATATTTGAGAAAAACCGAAAATCTGTTTGTGCTCCTACTGAATAACACACATACACACACACACATATAGTTAGGTTTGTGTGAACTTCTATTAATGTGTTTCAGGAGACAGGTACAAGAATAATCACAGCATCATTGTTTGAAATAGAAAAAGCTAAACATGATCCAGGGTCCATCAGAAAGATAATGGGTACACTGGGATATAACTGAGATATTGGAACACTACTGGCACATACAATTAACAAACTACAACTGTGTACAACAAAGAACAGACTCTCAATATACTGTTGAACAACAGCAATAAATCAACTTACAGAACATACACAGAATAATTCCATTCATATAAAATTTTAAAACCAGCAAGCTAAACAACATATATGTTATTATTGAGGGATACATATTATGTAATAAAATTACAAAGGAAAACAAAGAAATAATTAACATAAAATATAGGATACTTGTCGAGGAATAAAATGAAATATAACTAGGAAATTCACAGGAGATATGGAAAGTATGAATGTTATAGATATACTGGCTGGGAGATTGCTTAGGTGTTTTAATTATTAATTAAATTATACACTATATTTACTTTTTGTATGCATAAAATATTTTACAATTTTGAAAAACGTTTTTAGAAAGAGATAAAAGCATATCAATGAAAAAAGGGAAATCAATTTGATAAATGGTCATGATATTTGAGCCTCAATCTTCATCATCAGAAATATGAAATGTTAAAATCTTTGCTCAGAGATTGATATTTCTACTGAGTTTTTTTTTCTTTATTTCAGAATATTATGAAGATAACAAGTTTAAGTTACATAGTTTAAGTCAAAGTTATAGGGGCGCCCCCCCGCCTTATAACTATAAGTTTCAATTACCACACTAATCCTGGTGTCTGACTTTTTGTTTCATATGATCATAAAGTTTCAGACCCATTATGGTAAAAGAAAATAAAAAGAAGTTTTCTCTAAGTAAAAAGTTTACATAATATGAATTTTTCTAAATTAGCTATCAAATTCATTAGCATTAAACTAGTAAGTGCGTTACAGTTAGGCTCCTTGTGAGTTTCTAAAGGTATTTGGAAAAGGATGCTCTAGGCTGATTGTTCCTCCTGGGGTAAATGCGCAACACTTGATGGAAATCGTAACAGAAGCGGGCATCTCGTTTGGACATACTTGGTATAAAAGGCATTAACGCCAAGTGATGTTTGGATGCCCTAACAGCCGGTAAGTGGCAGGGCCATTTTACAGAAAGTATCTATCAACTGTGCCCAGGCTGGTGCCTCTTCATACAAGGCTCTTCCTCTTTCTATGGATGGCTGCTTTATATTGCCAAGTTTCTGCCTAAATGTCATCTTCTCAAAGAACTTTCCAAGTTCCCTGATGAGAGGATGGCTTGACAATTCTGTCCCTTCCCCGGTCATACTCTGTATCAGGTCCATGAGTGCTGTTGTTGTGTGACATGCCACAGTCTGAAATTATTTTGTTTGCTCTTTTGTCCTTTGTCCCCCTTCTCCTTAGCATTTCACTCCACAAGGGCAAGGTTCCTGCCTGGCACACATTAAGTGCTCCATTATAACTGGGTAATGGAAAGGGAGCAAACACTGGGAGGCCCAGGTTAAATCACTGCATATTACAAAAGTCATTGGATGTGCCAGTCTCCAGCTCTTCACGGTGAGAACGATGACTCCCTTTACTCAGGCAGATATATCCCTCCCCACCCCCGCTTCCTAAATTGATTTAAAGCCTAGCATTGTAAATTAGTTTAGTAAAGGACCAGTAATAGTCAAATGGATTAAAATCATCACCTTTTCTTACAGAGTTCTGGGTCCTCTTCACCTTACAGGAAAGTTCTAGTGAGTGCTAGAACTTGAAGAGTCCCTAGGATGTTTAATGTAACATGAGTAACACCCTCCCTGTGCTCCCAAAGTCCAAATACAGGTTGGTGAAATTATTGCTCACTTTATACAAATGTCAAAAAGTCTAGTTCTACCTTGGAATACACCACATACTGTGTATGGTTCCCTGTTCCTCTCTCCACTGTGTATGCAGAAACCCTGCAGTGTAGGTCTGAAGACAGATGCTATCTGTCAGATCTGAAGGAATGGAGGATCTCTTAGGGTAGGACAGGTATTATACTTATCCTGCCACAGTTCTGAGATGTGGCCGTTCTGAGATCTCTTAGGGTCAGACAGGTATCATAATCTACCACAGTTCTGAGATGTGGCCGCTCTGAGATCTCATAGGGTCGGGCAGGTATCATACTTGTCCTGCCACAGTTCTGAGACACAGCCGCTCTGAGATCTCATAGGGTTAGACAGGTATCATACTTGATCTACCACAGTTCTGAGAAGTGGCCACTCTGAGATCTCATAGGGTCGGACAGGTATCATACTTGATCTACCACAGTTCTGAGACGTGGTTGCTCTGAGGCCACAGTTCTGTGGCATGTTGATACATACTGTTTGCTTTTGTTTAATTTTTTTTAAGAACACTACTGGTTTATAGACAATTTCTCACATTGCTGACATTTTGCCTTCTATGGCATATCTGATACATTAATGAACCAATATCAATATATTACTAACTAAAGTGTATAGTTTATTCAGATTTCCTTAGTTTTTACTATTTTTTTCTACTCTACGATATCGTCTGAGATAACACAGTACATTTACTTGTCTGTCAGGTTTCTCTTGGCTGTGCCCATTCCTTAGATTTTCTCTGTTTTTTGTTTGGTTGGTGTTTTGTTTTTGTTTTTTACTTTGACAGTTTTTAGTACCATGCAAGTGTTTTAAAGGGTGTCCCTCTACTGAGATTTGTCTGATGTTTCCTTCATGAATAGACTAGAGTTACAGCTCCTGGGTCCCTTTAATATATCCTCATCAATTTTTTTTTAGCCCGTCTACACTTTCTGACAATCCAAGATGCTCTAAACTCGTCTTGACTCTTTCCAACCACAGTTCCAGAATCAGCCATTTCTCCAAGGAACAGGCCTTCTTTTTACTGGAGACTGTTATTAGACACCATGATCTGGGCTCATATGGAGTTATAGGATTAAAAGAGAGTATAATTTTAAAAGAATATACAAATCAAGGAAACATTCAGATTCAATGACACATAAACAGAAAACTCACAGAACTGCATTTTCTGTTTTACTATTTTTCACTTAAGACAAAACTAAACATAATCTCACTAGTATCTAAAATTTACATGTTAAATTGGTAACAAAGAGTTCCTTAATAACACGTTATGACAAGGATCAGATAAAACTAATAACATCGTAAATTGCTACAATCCTTTGGGAAACAATTTGGTGAGGGATCTATGCTATCTTGGTCTAGTAATTCTACAGCTGATAACTTATATTAAGGAAATAATCCAAAATAGCATGGGTAAAGCTATGCCACAGCTGTAAACACAAACCACACTGGTGCACACGGCGTCTTCCCCACTTTCCTTCAGTCATTTACCAGGTGTTTACTGAGAACCTTTTGTAGGTCAGACATTGCTGTGGGCACTGGGGATGGAGCAGTGAACATAGAAGATAAATTGCATACTCTTGTAAAACTTGTATTCTAGTGATGATATATAAAAATATAATATAAATATAGAACAGGTTATAAGGTGGTACATGCTATGGGGAAAAACACAGACAATAAGGTATGAGGAACGCCAGGGCAGAGGTTTGCGTCTTACCAGAGCGGTCTGAGAAAGCCTCAGCAGGAAGAAGGTGCCATTTACACAGAGACACAAAGGAAGTGAGGGCTCTCCCTTGTCTTTTGGAAGGGTCAGGCTGACTACCGTGTTGAAAATACACAGAAGAGAAGGGATATGGGAGAAGGGCGGGTATGCGGGGGGACCTCACCTAATGTGCATGATGCAATGGTACATTTCAAAACTATTAAGAAATGAGTATAATTGTGATGGATGTGTTACTTGGTTCAAAGTAAACATTTCACATTGTTTATCGAGACGATACCCTGAGCCCCATAAATGCATCAATGTACAAAGTTATGACTTAATAAAAAATTATTTAAAAAAAATGAAAATATACAGAAGGAGGTAAGGACAAAAGCAAGGAAACCTGTTAAAAGGCTACTACAAATTAAAAATGAGAGATGGTGGTGGGTTGGATGAGGGTGGAAGTGGCAGAGGGGCACGAGCTCATGCAGAGCGTGTATTCCAACGGCATGGCCCACGAGATTTGCTGGCTGACTGAAAGGGGGTCTGAGAGAAAAAAGAGCAGCTGTGCAGGGCTCCGGGGTCTGGGGCCTGAACAATGGGAAGGGTGGAGTTGTCATCGTGGAAATGGGTGAACTTTAGGAAGAAGAGTTGGGAAAGTGGGTGAGAAATCACAAGTTTATTTTTAGTTATATTGAATTTAAAATTCCTAGATGTCAAATAGGTATCTATAAAGGAGTCAGAGGTTTAATAGAGAGGGCCAAGCTAATGTATTCATCTGAGAGCTATCACATGGAAATGATATATACAATTAAATAACAAAAACAAATAGTCTAAGCCTCCATCATCCCTCATTTATTGTTTTAATATTTTAAAGACCCCCCAGAATCACTACATCCGATAAGTTTGAGATATTAAAAAAAATAAAACTCATTCCTTGGCTATCTGTATTAACTGATTTCTATCTTTAGAATAATTTTACTAGTATTTTAAACTTACTTCTTTTGAAGGATTCATTGGTAACGTAAAGATAGTTTTCCAGTACGACCAGACAAACATTGCAAAAAGCAGGTGATAGGCCAGCAGGCACACAGCTAAAATGAGAGAAACATAATTATCACTGTAATCTGGAGATGCAGGGTAAGACCACGGTACTCACACAAGATCTGCTTGTTCTAAAATCACCAGACTTTCATTATAATAAGTTACAGATGTTCCTTTACTTCATTCTAGATTATGTACAATCCAATGACTATATAGCTAAAGCCTAGAAATTCCCTAAATGAACAAATAGGATAATTTCTCATTAAGAAATTCCCTAAATGAACAATTAGATCTATGCCCATGAATGGAAAGGTCCCTTCTGTAAACAGACCAATCTATGGGCAAAATAACTAACAAAGGTCTTTCCTAACTTGTAAAAATAAGGTAGTTAAACTTGCAACTTTAAAGAGCAAACACAACATTAAACAAAAGTTAAAACGTTCAGGCTTTAATTGTGCTTTACTGACGCAGGCAACAACAGCAGTTCCTATTTGAGAAGCTGTTTGCTTATTTGCTCAGCTCCAGTCAAAGCCGGTGTACTGACAACCTGTCTAAACAGAGAACATCTGGACAAAGATTTCCTCCAGGGGGAGTTCTAGTGTCTTGTTTATCGTGTGTGATCACTGAAAAAAAAGACTTCCGAGTACTTTTCTCAGATACCGTATTAAAACACACAGTGTGTGGTGTTTAAAAGTCTTGAAGTACTATGCAAATTTAATATATTAATTTTATATATACTGATAATGATTCATTCTGGATATATATTAATACGTAACAATTCTGTAAAATACAGTTGAATAAAATATGCTAATTTAAAATATAGTCTGTTTAGTATTTTAAAAATTTAACAGCAGTTTTTATTTTTCTAAAGATTGATGATACTCATATATTTTTAAAGAACGATCGTCATTAAAATTTTGAATTATTCAACAAGGCACTTAAATCAGTGCCTTGAGATGACTATAGCCAATGATGTTTTTTATAAATTATGTAGATGTCTCAGTGATAGGATAATACTCTGAGTTGGGACAAGAAATTGTTGATATTCCTGTGCCTCAAAGTCAGAAGAATCTTTGGCTCTATTTCTACCGTTTCAGGGTAGAGTTCTCTGCCAAGTGTCTGACGATTCAGTCTGGGGACTTAAGGAAAGGAAGGATCTTTAACCCTATCTTGTCTCCACATTCTCGAAGAATAAGTTCTCAATCAAATCTAAAGAAGTACAAGGTGCTTTTGAAACTATTTAAAAATTCTATATCTGGAACAATAATATATTTTACCTTGTTCGCCAATGTTTTCCATGGACACTATAGAAATAAATAGAAAAAAAAAGGTAAATAATAGGTTATATGAAGCTTACAGCAAACACAGGGCCTGACAAGAGACATAAGGCATTTAAATAGCTTAGCAATTTTGTTTCCCTTCAAACCAACATTCTTTAAATAGTTGCTCAACTTTATTGAGAGGAGAGGGGAGCACCGTGCAGAGAGGGTGGAGGAGAAGGCTGGTGGCTGCAGTCACCCATGACTCTATTGTGCGCTTCAGCCCGGGCTCCCACACAGCACAACCAGACCTGTCACATGTGCATCTGTGCAGCTGACTCCTGAACTGCTCAGTTTATTGGTTTTCCTACCATCTACAGAGTTCAGATAAAAGCGAGCCTCTCTAGGTCATTACATTTTCAGACACATTTACTGCTCTTTGTAAATTGGCAACCACCTGGTTAGCTTTCTACAAAGAATAAAACATGCAGCACGTGCTCTTCCTTTCAGATTTCTGGAAGCAAATTCTTGTGCCCAATGACTAATTGCTCCCTATTACGACGACATGCCCAAGCAGAGCTGGGAAGCTGCCATCCCTTAGGGGCTGTTGTAAATATTCCAAAGTAGCAGATAGGTTAGGGACCACAAGACCTAAAACAAGCTGGGACCAGAACTGAGCTGTGTTAGTGACGGAGACCGTCGTCCTCTCTCTCTGTATTGTCTATTTCGGAGGTCCTCAAACTTTTTGAACAGGGGGCTAGTTCACTGTCCCTCAGACCATTGGCGGGCCGGACTATGGGCCCCAGGACAAGTCGGCTGCTAAGCAGGACAGGCAGCCACGGCAAAAACACCCGGATAAGGCGGGCTGCACGTGGCCCGTGGGCAGTAGTTTGAGGATGCCTGGATTTGCTTTGCGTCCCGCTTGGTCTTCCACTATTTATACCAAAATCTTTTGGAAGTTTTGGCCTGAGTTGTACCAAGGGAATGTTTGTATAATAAAGGATGCTTTTTGTTTGTGTGTGTGTGTCCTTATTCAGCTTTCTAACAAGGTACAGGATTCTCTTTCTAAGAGACCAGGTCTTGCTCTGTCACCCACACTGGAGTACAGTGGCAGGATCATAGCTTTCTGTACCCTGGAACTCCTGGGTGCAAATGATCCTCCTGCCTCAGCCTCCCAAGTCTAGGCTCATGCCACCATACCCAGTGAATTTTTAAATTTTTTTTGTAGAGACTGTTTTATGCTATGTCACCCAGGCTGGTCTCAAACTCATGGACTGAAGTAATCTTCCCGGCTCAGCCTCCCAGGGTTGCTGGGATCATAGGCATTGCTTCTAGCAGGGTTTGGGATTTCAGGCTTTGGTTCTAGAATGAAATGTCATTGTCTTAGGAAGCAATGGAATCAGAGTAGTCTGAGAGATGTTTAAGATCCAACCAGCTCCTTCCCCAAAGAGCTACCGAATGCAAGTCAAGCCTTCCAGAGCCAGTGGGAGCCCATAGCCCTGGAGAGCAGCCCATCCCATTACTGGGTTGCTCTGAACAGGAGAAAATTCATCCTCCCAGTATGCTGAAATTTACCTCTTTGTTGCAGTTTTACCTGTGATATCTAGGCTTCCAATCTGCAGCAATAAGCAGAAAATCTAAACAGCAGACCTTCGCGTATTTAAAGTCGCTGTGTCCCTCTCAAATGTTCTCTTTCAGCCCAAATAATACATGATTCCCAGATCTCATACCAATCTCGACATGGCATCTTTAAATGTTTCCTCATTTCTCAATTCCCTTAACATTTCTGAGACCCAGAATGGGGCAGCCAGGCATACTTGATCTTTGACTTAAAAATGGCCTGTTCTACAAGTTGGCTTTTAAATCAGAGGCTAGTCGGAGTTCACTTTCTCACAGAATCCTTCAAGCGGTCAACCCGAGGTCACAGGATAGACCTGAGGCAATCTGGGTTTTTTATATTAAAAACCACAGACCACATCTATGCACTTCTCTCCAGCCCGGGACTTGCCTCTCTTCAAGAGTGCTCCAAAATTAACAACTCAAAACCTTTACTCCTTCAGAGGAGGATATGAAAAATAACTTGACTCCATGTGCATTTCTGTATGAATGACTCTCAAAGACCCTTCCAGAGGTGCTGGTGCTTTAAAGAAAATTGGTGATCTGTGACTCTGGCTGTCAGAAATGAAAAGTGACATTTTTTAAAAAGGTACAATTAGCATGAGCTGATAATATTTCTGACCCAACTCTATTAGCTGGATATACAGTCAATGACATCTTTTTTAAGAGCTATTTTGTATGCCATTCACAATTTGTTTTTCCCTATTTTGTCCTTCAAAATCCACAGATGCTCTATTTATTTTTAAACAGTTATGCATCAATAGAAGTAGAAGCTAATACTATATCCCATACATCTATTAATTAAGTTAATTTAAAAATTTGATAGTGTTGTAAGTGGTAAGTCATAAAATTTTGCTAGTATTTATGGCTTTGTAAAAATTGATCTTTACTCAGTTTTTATTAAAGCCAATAGCTTTACTCGAAGTTCCAATGAGTAGCACATTAATTAATTAGATCCCAGAAATTCTTCTATATTCAATTTTAAAATATATGACAAAAGTATAACTCTGCTGGATGTTCTCTATGGGAACAGGCTTAATGTAAATAATTCCAATAAAATTTACAGAATGAAATGTAAGTCAAAAAAGGCTATCTAGAATTACACACCCACGAACATCATTTCTCCTAAACATAAGTCTTTTTAATTTGAATTAACATCATAGGACAAAATAAAAATCATCATTTTAGTATTCACTTCCCTCATGACTAGTGAAGTTCAGCATTATTTTTAAAATATGATTGGCTTTTCCTGTCTCTTCTGAGTGAAATGTCATTTTTTGATTTGCCTACCTGTCCTTTAGTTACAGACCCTTTTACCGGACAGCAATCCCTTATCTGTTATGTATGTGACAAATGTCTTATATAACCATTTTCAATGATTTTCATAAATACTAGCAAAATTTTATGACTTACCACTTATAACACTATCAAATTTTTAAATTAACTTAATTAATAGATGTATGGGATATAGTATTAGCTTCTACTTTAGGATACTTAGAAATGAATGTTCTCTCAACTAAGTGTACTTAATTAGTATGTCAGTGATTTGTCTCATAATTTTCAGTTTCATGGCCAAGTTGTCAAGTTCAAAGTTGCCTTTTCATTGTGTAAAAACACATAAAACAAAATGCTGTCAAATGAAAATATTTTTGTTCTTAAATGCTGTCTAAGAAAAGGTTGATATTTAGCCTCAAATACCTAATATTTATGTATACAAAGATAATATATGGACAATACAGATTTTTAAAAAATATATAGATAGTAACCAAATATAATTTGATTTACATCAATATAAAAATTAAGTACCAATAGAACATAATTATGACAGATCTTCCAAAAATAACTATTGGGTTTTAATGTGATTTTGAGTTTTAATCTGGTATTATTTAATTCTTTTATGTACTTTGCAGACAGAATTTCAGTTTGGTCTGTTTAAAAATTTTGCTGGTACCTATTCTTCAACTGTACCATGAAGAAATTTCCAGTGTTGTGTATCACATCTTTATCTCAATAGCTGATTTTCTTTAAACTAGCTATTGAGATAAATTAATATAATCATTTCTATTTTATTAAAAGGAAAATTGATCTTTGCTCAGTTTTTATTAAAGCCAATAGCTTTACTCGAAGTTCCAATGAGTAGCACATTAATTAATCCCTCCCCAGAAGTTCTTCTATATTTAATTTTAAAATAATATGACAAAACTATGACTTTGAACTCTGCTGGATCATATTAAAATTAATTCCTCATCAAAGCACAATAAGTGGCCTAGAGCTTCTGCCCCATAAATATTTACAGAATAAAAGAATGATTTAGACAAACAGAAGAAAACACAACTGATATGCATCATCCATATAATCCCATAATCCTATAATCCCAGCACTCTGGGAGGCAGAGGTGGGAGGACTGCTTGAGGTCAGGTGTTCAAGATCAGTCTGGGCAACACAGTGAGACTCCATCTTATAAGTTTTGTTTTTTTTTTTTAAAGGGAAAAGGTTGGAGGAGACACTGACTTCAACTGGGCTTCAAGCAACTTTGAAAACAGAAAGGTTCTGTAAGTTTACAGGCATCCCAGCCCCAGTTTTGTTCTAAGGAGACACTGACTTCAACTGGGCTTCAAGCAACTTTGAAAACAGAAAGGTTCTGTAAGTTTACAGGCATCCCAGCCCCAGTTTTGTTCTTCCTAGTATTTTACTTTTTTCTTCCTTTTTCCTAGTATTTTACTTTTTTATAGTTCACTTTGTCAAAATTAAAAAGAGCCTGTTACTAAGGATAATAGTACCAAAGAGCAAATGCCCTGGACAAAGGCAAACATTCAAGCCCAGTGGGCAGCTTCCATGAGCTACTCCACTTTAACACCATCCTCCTCCAGGAGTGGAATAACGGGAGAGTAGCACTGCGGCTGTGGGGGAATGAAGAGGAGGAACATGGGAACATGCTGCCCCTAGTGGCTGACACACAGTAAGCCCCACAGATGCCCAAACAAGTAGAAGACATCATGTTTAGTTTTGCTAATACTAACCGTAATATATAACTAAAGAGGGGGCTGAAAATGAAGAAAAATCACCAAGAGAAAAGTAATATTTGTACAGGCTTTTGAAAGAAAAAAATATAAAATTTTGAATGAAAATAGACTTCACATGTGAAAATAAAAGGTGAAAAATAATTTAAGTGACAATTATAAGTAAATTTGTCTTTTTTTAATGTGCCACTTCAGAAACTTGTTTAGCATAAACAAAAAAAGGAGGTTTTCCACCTAAACACAGAGTAATGATGAGGTATAAAAAACTTCACTTGTCATGTGACATTTAGTCTTTGTGAGAACTTCTGTTAACAGTGAAAAGATCTCTTCTGAATGGCACTAATGAGTAAAAACAATTACTCTTCTTTTTTTATTATTTTTAAAGACCTAAACCTTATATTCACCCCA